AACTGAAATATTATAAAATTATGTTGCATGCTGACTATTTTTAAAACCCTACTTAATTAATCTTTTCGAAACGAAACCGCATTTTAGAATTTTGGTTGATATTTCACGAGTTAGCCCACCGACTGTAGATGCGCTAACTCATGAAACGTTAATCGCGGTTACCCGCTGTGGCTGATGGACTTTGGTCCAAATATTCATGTATAAAATTCTCGGTCTGTGCCTATAGACCTTGAATATACTGATCTACTCCTACTTCGCACAAAATTTCTCCGGAAATTATAAATTGACAAAATGTGTTTGTGTTTCGAAAAGATTTCTTAAATGGGGTTTTAAAGTTAACCATCATGCATTTCGGGATTTCGGTTGACATTTCATGAGTTAACCCACCTACTGTGCATGCAGGGCAAGGGACAACTGGGCGTTAGGTAAACGACTGTCTACTACTGATCAATGGCACCTTTGTCCTGGCGGCTGAGATCGGAAACACTAGCTATGCTGGAAGGACGTCCAGTGACCACTAATACTGTTTACGCGCCGCTGTGCGGCTGCTGTCAAAGCAACAGGGCGACTGGTTTCCTCAGCGCGATCGGTGAGCGTCCTCTACCCCCCCTACCATTGTATATGCATATGTGGGTGGGACCAGTTCTGTCACTAAACCGGAAACTAAGGAGTCCATTGTAGTTCCCTTGACTGGCTCATAGGCTCCTCCTGCGAAACTCGAACAGACTCGTGAAGTGCTCAGTTTTGATCGGTTTCCGCGTTTCATCGTACGTATCCTAAGATTTCTTGTGTAAGACTTAGGACAAACTGGACGAGGTGGGTGCGAACAAGAGGGATCACTGTTCCGCCCGACTTAATTTTCCGACCTCTCAGGGCAATGAATTTGGAGGCTGATCAGACTGAGGTAGCCGGATTGTCATGGAGCAACTTCAGTTTTTGGTGCATCCACTTTACCAAATTATAGATGAGGCTGCAGTTTAGGGCAATGATTGGCCATATCGAATATTTGATTTGTTGATCTTTGGCAAATCATAGAATCCGGCCAGAGCATTATCCGTCGATTTCATTTAGCGCCATTCGTTCTCATCGATCACATTTTGACGCCTGTTGCTGTTTTGGCGTGTAAATTCTATGCTGCTTCGTCAAATTCCCTAGCATAATGCTATGTTCTGACTTCTGCTGGGCAGTTTTCTCTCTTATCAACCGGTTGGAATGATAATTTGTTTGTCCATCCTTAGTTTCTTTATAGCTTTTGAATCACTGCGAAACACACCGAGTTCTTCTGTGCGCCATCAGCGAGGTTACACATTGCCGGATTGGGTGTTTCTTGTCGTTGGTTGTTTCAGTTCTCACAATCGTCACTTCACAGTCACCATGACAATCACTCACGCCAGAAGCAAAATAGACCGAGAATTCTTTGAAGTCTTTGCATTGGATTAGAATTCAATCAATCGATATATCGGCCTGACGTGAGAATACGGAGCCCTCAGCGGTCACAACCAGACATGCATCCCTAAGGTTTGGTTGACTCAAATCCCCCCTAAGACTGTTGCTGGATCCATTTCTGCTCTTACCTCTGACAATGGACCCCTACGGGAGTTCGGAAGCTCAGGAAAATAAGGAAACGGTTCTGACGATTGAATAGTCCTTCATCGTCCTTACTCCTACATACACCTGGATTTCGACCATTCGCCGCTCTTCGGGATTTCTTTTATCTTAACACCTACCGAACAAAATAGTTTTCAGATCTACGATGACGAATGTGTTGGAGCAGGGTGTTTCGCCTCAATCAGTGCGTGCATATTTTCCAAAATAAAAAGTTCTCGCTTTTTCGTAAAGCCTCTGAAATGCTTAATGTGTATATTATTCGAATCAAAACCGTACAAGCCTGCATGTCCATAACAAGATATCATCGGATTTCGTTAATTATTTTGTGATCATCTTATTTGGCCTGTAAATAGTAGACAAAGTGAATAATCATTTGAATTTTTCCAAATACTCTTAATTACGAACTGAATTATCTGATCTACTTCAAGTTCGTAGTTAATTTCTGAGGAAATTAAAAAGCGACAATTTATAAATTGGAATATCTACCAGAAAACAGACGGGGAATGCTGGAGGACCTACTGACGAGCCGAACCCCTGACAGCTGCATCATGCAGCTGCAGAAATCGATGAAACGCGCGTGAACGGGCTTTTGGTTAGTAGCTGCGCTATGAATATGGTATCCTCTTGTCCTTACGAAACATCCCTCTTCTAAAGCATGCATCTGAGTTAAAGCATTATCTTCAATAAAACGAACAGGAGAAATAAATTTAGCGATAATCTAAATGAAAATAAAATGCATTTTATATATATCGACAGACAACTAGAAAATCCCCAATTATTTTTAGGTAGTTCTTTCAGCCGTACTTTTCAGTACACCGCAAATTTCTTCTGTCCACGTTTGAAACAACGACAATGTTGAATGGAGGTTCCCAGCCCGGTAACAACTTGAGATGATGTACTTTTAAACGTGTGAAACAAGCTTAAATGAGGGCACGTTCCCACCAATGCAAAAATTCACTCTTCAGTAGCCCTGTGCCCCTTCGGGCGCAACTACGCACATCTTCAGTAGGTATTTGTGGCCTCGAATATCGAGCTCTCATCGTTCAGATTGTTGTTGCCTGTCCATATCGGGGGCTTCTAATTAGTTTAATTGCCTGTGTCCTTGTGTTAGGTTTTAACTCTGACAAGACAGCCAGTCAGTATTAGTCAGTATATTTGTAGAAACTGACAGAAACTCTTAAAACGCCATTTAAACTGTACAGGCGTGAATGAAAATAATTAAATTGCAAACATTTGATATGTAGTCTTACTGTGCAGAATGCATTAATCTTATGGTGAGCCATAAATGTGAAAAAGGTGTGACATTTGCGAAATAACGGCGAAAAAAACTCGTTCACTGCAATCGCACTGGAAATTTTCATCCGTTTCACGGTTAATGTACACAGCAGAATCTCTTGAATCCATGTTAGTAGCATGTCCACAGCCATCTCAGTAAGCCGCTAGATCGGGCCTAGGGAATACGGGTTGCCTTTTACTTGGCGATTATCCAAACGTCTTTTGAACACACTCACGGTAGGGGAATTAATAACATACGTCGGCAAAGAATTCCATTGGCGGATGACTGCGAGAAAAATGAGGAGCGTCGATTTGTGTGGCGTAGTTCTTTCTTAAGCTGGTAATCGTGTCGTCTGAGATTAGACTTTAATGACATTTCAAGAAGAATTTCCAAATCAACATCCATGTCAAGTCCTCTTAGCAACTGAAACGTTGCTGAGGTCACCTCTGTCCTCTCTGTGGTGGAGGGTATAGTGGTTCAAGGCCGTCAGACGCTGTCCGTACGTTGATTTTTAGTCATCGGCTGTTCTCAGAGGGCCAGAAGTAGGCGGCAACTTTGCAAGGCTACACTTGAGAGGTCAAGCCACTTAGCTTGGAAGAACCTAGGCGAACAAGTTTGCCGCGAAAAGGCCAATAGAGTATTTAGTATGAATGGTCTCAGGCAAGTCTACGTGGAATACTAGAAAGTCTGCTAGCTATTCATGGTCCCATGAAAAGCCTTCATTAAGGAATTATTCTGTCCAACCATGAACTGTTCATAGCATCAAAGGATTTTCCGATTTTCGTGGAAATTCTATTACCGAGAGAGTTCATTTTAAATTTGACTGGGATCATACACTTCACTGTTATATTAACAATACTTGGGAAGAGAATACTCCTCAATTGGTTTGCGCAATCAGCATCTAGCGGGTATCAGACTCTTGGGTCGTATTTTTGCAGTTTGGGTAGAGTCTACATTTGATAAGATATAACTGGGTAAACCAAATTGGGTTCCTCGAATGGCATTATAGGGGTCGTTCCTTCGACATTTTACGGCGTACGTGGTTGTTGGGCGTTTCATCAAGTTTTTAGTCCCCACGTGGATTCGCAGCAATTAATGGCTCAGGCGTTGCACGCGGGTTTTGTTTCAGAGCTCTCAACAATCGCAAATACACCTAAGGACTCCCCGCTTCAGCCCTTGGCAGCATTGGGCTCACCCTAACGCTCTCCTGGCTCATGTTGGCCACATGCATCGGTCACAGTTTATGCCTTTTCGTTCAGTGCCGTTTGTTGGCAGAATTCAAATAGCCCCATGAGATGTTCAACTTTGAGGGCATTCTGCGTCCCATCGTACGCCTCTTCAAGTCTCTTGCGCAAGACTTCGCAGGCCAAGTTTGATGGGATGGATGTGAATAACAACGTCACATCGAAGGAGACCATGATTTCGTCCAATCGACCTCGGAGGTCTATGGGGAATTGAGAGGCTGATCGAATTGAGGTAGTCGAATTGCCTTGGAGGAGCTTCAGTTTTGAGTACATTCACTTTGCCAATTTGTAGGTGGGACTGCCTTTTAGGGCAACAATTGACCGAAGTGGGACATTTGCTTAATGGATTTTTGGCAGACCATAGAATCGAGCTAGAGCGATGTCAGTTGCCTTCATATGGTGTCATTCCTTTTCCGTGATCACATTTTTATGTCGGTATTCTCTAAGCAGTTTACTCAGCCGATCTGCCACTGCTTTGGCTTGTGAGTTCTGTGCTGGTCTGTAAAATTTTCTGTCATCAGGAAGGGCTTTAGCTTTTTCATTATAGTCTTTCCGATTCACCACGACGGTTGATCGTGCCTTGTCAGCGGGTAGAATGATAATTCAGTCGCCCCTCCTCAGTTCCATCATAGACTTTGGATTACTCTGCAAAATACATTTGGTTGGCTTGTGTGTCATCAGCAAGGATGTAACACGTCGGACAGAGTGTTTCATGTCGTCGGATGTTTCACTTCTCACAAGCATAGCTTCGAGGACTGCAATGAAGTCGACAGGAGCGACATCTGCTGTGTTGAAACAAGTTTCATGCTGTAAAACTCGTAGTTGCTGCTCTGTCGTAAATCCATCTGCTGTGTGCCATTATCGGCCGCTGGATGTTGCCGCCCTACGTTATCAGAGGTGGCCAGCTCTCTGAGCTGCTCCTCATCAACAATGGCAACGCTGGTGATTTCCTCGAGCTCTTTAAGTCCTCCAGTGTGGAAGCTATTCGTTGAAACCCCGTCCCCAAGTTCAGCATCTCCTGTCTGTGGCTGCTGCAGCCTTGTTTCATCAAGACCGCCCGAATTGTCGCCAGTACTGTGTCGGTGCTAGAACACCCACAGACACCTGTCACTGTGGCCACCGGTCAGCGCGACCTTCATCAGCCGTCTGGGGTACCGCAAACCAATCAACACTGCTTCGTTCGGAATCCGAAGCAAAAGGGAGATCCAAGAGGCGACGGAAACACAGACGGAACTCAGCAAGGCGGCAGACAGACTCCAGCACATAGACCGAAGGATGCTGCTACTGCCGCCGCCGCCGCCGACGCTGCAGTCGTTGTTGGCGAGACTACTAGCTGCATCCTCTTTGGAACCAGGTCATGGGCCATTGTGCTGTCTCTCACGCTCCAAGACGTGCTCCTTCTGTGTCTACGGCACACGCTGAGTTTCGGCTTTGATGTGCTGAGCCACTAGAATGTCTTCTTCATTTGCAAGAACGCACTTCTCGTTCTGACGCAGGTTTTTAGATTCTCGGTTCTGCTGAGAGGACACTGTCGCGAGCGACCACCGTTTTAATTGGGATGACACCGAGGTCATCGCCACGGCCGACACAAAACGGGCGAGAGAATTCCTAGAGGCATGGCATCCTAATGCGGACAGCATCAACCGCCACGTTGACCTAGGTGTCCATTATGAGGGCCTAAGATCACGCCTCACTAAGCCGAGGCCCACGCCGCATCAGCGGCCGCTAATCCGCCGGTTCCGCCAACCTACCGTTCTCCCTCTCCTCCTAAACGGGGAGCCGTAACTGTTCTCTCCCCCCACCCGGCTCAGAATCCAGCAAGACTCCCTGCCCGCATCCCTTCTCACACGCTAATGGTCCGCCCGTCAATGTTTGTCCCGTCACGTCAACTAGTCTAGTGTGACTGTCTCAATCGATCTTTTATTTCCATTTCGTCTGACGACGGGTTGGTGTCACCAATTCGAAAATTCACAAGTACAACTCGATTTTTTCCGAAGAACCTCTTCTTTTTTCATTTTCTCGTCTCGGAATGCATACCACTTCTACCCTACAACATATATATACATTATAAAAGGAGAAGGCTCGTCGGAAAATTGAGGTATACTCGTGAATTTTCAAGTCGGTTACACCAACCCGTCGTCAGACGAAATGAAAAGTGTGAGGGAGATAATCGCACTGGGGAGCTAAGGGGACATCGAGGTTACATCGAAAAGACAGACGTTTATGTGTGGGGGTGAAGAACGTGTTTGTATAGGTTGCGGACGTTGGGGGAGGTGTTGAGGATTTCACACATGATTCACTCTGTGGGGGGAGGTGCTGAATCCGTAATATTCTACATGGCCGAAGATGGATTAGCAGTTAGTGTCTTATACATATATATTTTCATATGACAAGAAAAGGCGATTTCAGGAACCATAGTTTCTTCTCATTTATGTCCGAGAACGCGCATCTTCGCTTCTATTAGCAATATTTTCATATATATGCATATATTTTCAAAATGGTAGAAAATACGAACGCTTGCTAATCTCATACCTTCTCCACAGAAAGGCACTCTAGTGCGTTGTCTGATATAACGAATTGGAAAACTTTGTTCGGCAGACTGCATCGACGAGGGACCTAGAAGTATCCAGAGCCTGGTTTGCGCGAACAGATATCCTGACAGGTTTATGGCAAAAAGTATCTTCGAGAGTCCATCACAGTCTAAACGGAGAAGAGAACTCTCGTCCTCATATTCCCTTCCCAAGGGAACGCTGGGTAGACACCTTGATCGAGCTGTTTCACGGACCTTCGCAGGAGCAAATTTTCCGCATTATTTTCGACTACCCTTGTTTTACATGGGGATATTAAAGATAGGTTGCCAGCTCAAACCACCTCCATGTGAATTTACTCCTTAATGTGCTCGCATAGAGCAGACCTAATTTGTCGTACGGGTAGGCGCCCATTCAAAAGAATACGGAAAAACCTTTGGGCATGACTGGGAGATGACAAAGTTATAAGCCTAAACAGCATCCTTCTTGCACACATTGTTGATTACGGGCTTCGTGTGGACCCCAGCAAAGCCTTCAGTGTAATGTATAAAGTCCCATCGAACTGGCCAAATTCGCTGGGTCGGCGTCTGTCATTGGGTTACGGGAGCCGGTCTTGTGCTCAAAAAAGAACCTAGTCCAAGCTCCACGCCGACCGTGGCCATAGGTCGACTAATTGCATGCAGTTTTCTGCGCCCTCTCCCTTCTCTCCTAACCCTGACTGTCCTTAAATCCCTACCTATGATTACCTCCACCTATTCGTACACCCCACTTGTGCGAAGACGAACTGTAATCGATCCCTCTCATCACTCGCATGTTTGGCTTATGCCCCACTCCCACACAAATGTACTGGCCGGATGAGATTTTATCGAAAGCACTCGCGTGCTTGCTACCTGGTCTTCGGTATTTTCAGGACAATATGTTTATATGTAAGTTCTACTGAAATATCAACAGTAACATCGTTAGGGTAACACTGAGCCGTCGTCAACGGCGTTTAGAATTTACCCAGTATTCTAGTTTGCTCACTTACGAACATGACGCAAGTCCACGAAGAGTGTGACGTAACTATACGTTTCTTAATCATCTTTATGCCATACCGAGACTCAGATTTGGTCTTCATCCCCCGGCTGGTTTCGGCAGCTGTTAGCAAACGTCAATTATTCCCGCAAAGTACATAACTGCTATACAGGGAAATCAACAGCCCGAGTCTATAGGTTAGTCAGCATAAAATAACGTTCCATCAGAAGCGCCGAACCCACTTCTTTAAGGACAACCTCGAAAATTTACTTGCTAGAGGCTGAATTGTATCATTATAAGAAAAAGTCGAGCAACGAACACTATCCGCGGCAGTACACTCCGAAAACAACGTCGTCTCATCACACTTAAAAGTTAAAAAATACCAACCAACGGCTAAAAAATTTTACACCGCAGGTTAGTCTAATGAGTCAAGGGAATCATCTTCTTTTCCACATTCGCGAGATGGTTCATTATCGAACGAATGCTTACGACCTACGAATGATTGCGTCTAGTATTACAGTGAGTGACTTATCTCACGAAATGTTGGCTGAAATTCTGAAACGCGTTTTCGATTAGGAAGGATTACTTGATCGCGGTTGTAATACTGATTATCTTGTGGCATACTCTTATAACATTTCGGACTTGGCAGGATGTCGGCTTTTAAATGCATTTCTTTTCAATCTGCTGTAGAAAGCGTGCTCGGTGAAAAATGACTACTTAAGTAGTACGCATTTTTCCCATTGATTTTCGATGGTCTTGGAAATTCAAATGTATTTTATAGAAACCATAAACAAAAATATGCTTTCTTTTACTCAATTAATAGAGAATCACGTTTTCTTTATATTTTGTACTTGAGAAAGGAGTATAATTAGGTCTTAAAAATGTTTTCTAATTGCCAAATAATTTGGAGCCTGATCATTTGTTGCATTAGCGCTTAGTGATTTCACTCTACAAGGTGCATGCGTTCCGCGTAAAGAAAATCGCATATTTTTTATGCCATTAAAGAGATATCATGCAGAGTCCATAAAATTTTGCAATGACTGCGGACCATGTTGTACATTTCATGAGGGGCAGTGGTAAAGGGTCAGGTACGATGGTATGTGAATGGACATTTCGAGGTCTTTAAAAGTCTCATAATTAGAAACTTTTTAAAAACCTAATTACACTCCTTCCTTAAGTATAAACTATAAAGAAGACGTGATTCTCTATTGACTTACTGAAAGAAAGCATATTTTTGTTTGTGGTTTCTATAAAATATATTTGAATTTCCAAGACCACCGAAAATCAATTGGAAAATGCATGCTACTTAAGCAGTCATTTTTACCGAGCACGCTTCCTACAGCAGATTGAAAAGAAGTGCATTTATAAGCCGACATCCTGCCTAGTCCGACATGTTATAAGAGTATGCCACAAGATAAGCGGTATTACAACCACGACCAAGTAATCCTTCCTAATCGAAAATGCATTTCAGAATTTCAGCCAACATTTCACGAGATAGGTCACTCACTGTAGGTCCGCTGTCAGGCAGGGAGGGTCTGAGATTTGAAAGCGATTTCTAACTCTCAGAAAGTATGAGATTTCGAACCGCTTGGCTATAAACTCGGAACTCGCCGACCGTAACCATTCTTTAGGGTCTTAGCATAGATAACGGACAATGCGGACTCTCTGCGGACCGCAAAATGGTGACTTAACACGCGATCCTGAGGTCTAGCAAATGGCAGTACATCCTTCTGGGGCAGCCTCTTCACCATGTGTTGCTATCTACGCACCAAATCGGTCGATAGATCGGTTGGTAGACTTCCCCTCAGCGCACAATGTCAATTACTTGCGAAAGTGTTCCTACATCGACGATTGCTTGATCAGCCGTGACTCTGCACAAGCCCTTAAGGACGTAGCTTCGCACTTGCGAACAGCTCTGCAAACTCATAGTTTCCGTTTACATAAGTAACGGAGCAACTCGGTTGAGGCCCTCGTAGACATCTCTGAGGAAGAACGAATCGACGGGGAAATTTGCCTCGACCTTAAGCCAGCCGATACCCACAGAACACTACGTGTTGAATCGAACAAGGCTACAGAATCATTCAGCTTTACAACTAAGTGGCCTACAGATACGGTTACCGGAAGAGCGATGCTCTCTTATATCACAACCCTCTTTGATCCACTTGGGTTCGTTGCTCCTGTTTTGTTACCGGCCCAGTTGCCACTGCAGCATTTGTGCTGATCCAATCTCGGGTGGGAGGATAAGATCGACGATGAGCGCGAGCGACAGTGGTTTAGCTGGACGAAACAGTTTCGGTGTCTTAACGATGTTTGAATCCAACGCTGTTTGACCCCGGTCGGTTTGGATATTGTTGAGCAGTATCAACTACACGGTTTCTCGGACACGTCAAACAGCGGGTACGGGGCCGTAGTCTACCTTCACGTAGTGACCAAAGATGGTACTACATTTACGACGTTTGTGTGGGACAAATCTCGAGTAGCGCCTCTTAAGTTCCAAACTATACCACGACTAGAACTCATCGCTGCGGTTCTGGTAGTTAAACTTGTGAAACAGACAGAGTTGGAACTGACATTACCAATTTCTTCAAAGACCATGTGGACGGACTCAATGGTCGTCTTACAACTGATAAGGAACACCACTTCACGTCTTGAAACGTTTGTGGCTAACCGTATCTCTACCATATAAGACCTTTTAGATCCTTCACAATTGGAAAGTCAATTGGCTAGCATTATGCTTTCGGTAATTCCTCATCAGGCCTGCACAATAACAAGGAAAAGGATCAGTATAACTGTCGACAGGGTATAAATGCGTCTCGGGGGCTAGGTTAATCGAACTCCATGTTCCCACGCCGCCCGCATGTCGGAGTCTGCGTGTTGAGGACGGCGGAGTTGGGGTGGCAGGGGGAGGG